AGAAATGGGAACAAGAGAGCCATCAGCAATGGATACTTTATCTCTACCAGAAGATAAGTGATAAGTAGTGAACAATGATGGCAAGCTAGTCATATGGTCAGATGCACCTGAGTCTATTACCCAACAGTGTTCAGTGTTACCTGGAGCTGAAGCATGGTAGGCTGAGGCCCGAGTACTTGAATGAGCAAATGCAGATGTGGTAGGGGCTGATGGTGACTGAGATGACTGAGCTGAATTCCCAACCTCCTTTTCCAACTGTATTAGGGCAGCCCGAACAGCAGCTAAGGTATATAGGGGCGTGCCTTTTGTGCCTGACGAGGATGCAGAATCAGTATTCACAGCCATATGAGCATTACTCCTTTTATTCCTCAGTTTTGCTGGGACTAAATGAGGGTGGAGCTTCCAACATGTATCTTTCGAATGCTTGGGTTTCTTGCAATGTTCACATACTAGATCCCGTTTATCTTCCTTCTTCATGTCTCTTTTGTATCACCCCCAGACTTAGGTTTAACTGCTGCCAAGGCTGGGGGAAAGGGCTAATGTTGCATCATAACCTTCTTCCTGGTCTCTTCACTATGCACCAGGGAGTAGGCTTGAGATAGGGCCACACCGTCTCTTGTCAGTATCTGCTGTCTCACAATGTCATAATTTGAATTCAGGCCAGCCAGAWAYTCAAACACCCTATTGGTCTCGACTTGCTTTCTATGGGTCTGTGCATCTTTTGGACTTTCCCACTCAAGAGTCTCCAGATGGTCAATTTCATGCCACAGGGATTTCAAGGTAGAGAAATAAATAGAGACCGGTTTCTCTCCTTGTTTAAGGTTATTCACCTCACACTTTAGTTCATAGGCTCTAGCAACATTAAGGGGTTGGGAGTAGGTATCTTTCATGACATCCCATATCTCCTTGGCTGTCTTTGCCCACAAGTAATTTTGGCTTATATGTGGCTGCATAGAGTTGCATAGCCATGTCATAACCAAGTAGTTCTCCTAAACCCACTTGGTATACATTGGGTCTTCCTTGGAAGGTTTTTTCACATCTCCCAATAGGTAGCTAAGTTTTCCCCTTCCCCCAATAGCCATCATGGCTGATTGGGCCCATTCCAAGTAATTGGATCCGTCAAATCTCACAGTTGTAATCTGAAACGCTGTCTCAGACATACTACCAGAACTGTTGTTCCCAAAAACACCTTCTCCCTGATTTTTGAACTCCATTCTTGGTCAAGAATCAGTAGTTAAGAACTATTAGGGTTACTGTAATAGAAAACAGCACTTAAACAATCAATCGATCACAATCAGAAATCTGTATGAAATCAGTTCAGACCTGATCTGAAACCAATCGACAATCAGAATATATGCAGTCCGATAACAGTTCTCACCCCCAAAACAGGCTCGGAAGCCAAAAACAGGTCCGAAACCCACTAAGAAAGCAATCTGTAATGCTGAGGCAGAATTAGGGTTTTAATCGTAGGGTTAGGAAGACCTTTGTGAGAACATAAACAGTGCTCAGCCGCACTTTCCAAAAGAATTCACAGTCAAGTCTAGCCGTAGGGTTAATGACAAACCCTAAAAAAACTGATCACCTCTGAGAGAAAATAGGAGAGTTCGGCCGCTCCTCCTAG